ATTTTAAAATTATTAATTCTTAGGTAGAATAGTTTGTGGGTTGTGTGAAGGACCTGTCTAGCTCGGCCAGCGGACCTGCTGTAGTTTTCTCTTTCTCACGAGTCCCATGGAATATTACCCCATTCCAAACTACCATTCCTCCATTTCCCCCCAAACTACTTCTTAAATCACAATCAAAACTTCGCCTTGAAGCCAAACATGAGGCCTTAAGCTGTATTGATAACTTAGTCACACAGCACACACTCTCCCAAATTATTTACGTTGATGGTTCTGTTCACCAATCCACTGGTGCAGCTGGTAGTGCTGTTGTCGTACAGAGTGATGGCTCTCTTAAAGAAATTGGAGCACGCATCAATAATTGGGCCTCTACCCTTCAGACAGAACTGTTTGCCATACTCCTTGCACTGAAATGCATCTATGTATCAAAGATTGACAGTTTAATTGTAACTGATTCTCTGTCATCCATAAATGCTCTCAACTCATTAAGCATAAATTGTGGCATGCTTGTGTCAGAAGCCAGACACAGGTATGGTAGGATTGTGGACAGTGGAGTCAGAGTGCACATGCTGTGGATTCCATCTCACATTGGTCTTCAGATGCATGATAGAACTGATAAATTGGCTAAGCTGTATGCTTTCAAAGAGGGAGTAGATTACAATCATGGCTTGTCAGGTAGTAGTTTGAGAACAATAATACGAAAAGAACTTCAGCTGAATTTTATGGACTTAAGGCTCAGGGAGATTGACACCAGTGAGTCCATCTATCATCATTCTATCATGCAGGAGGAGCCACATGTCTATGGTGCATCCAACAAAATAAGCAGACTCTTGGATGTCACTACCGCCCGGCTCCGGCTGGGTTACAAGTATCTTTGGCAGGTTAAATCACCACCACCAGATGTAGACCAAACGAAATGTAAACTTTGCCAGATGGATTATTGTCACACCCTGCGTCATTATGTACTGGAGTGCGATAAAAATTAATGAATTTAGAAACAACTCACTCAGAAGTGTTCAAGAAATGGCTAAGTATTTTATCCACAGTGGTATATTACAGACCATTCTGGAGAAATACCCTGACTTTGCTAGCTGTAAATAAAGCATTACCACATATGTGCATATGTGTGTGTGTGTGTGTGTGTGTGTGTGTGTGTGTGTGTGTGTTGTGTGTGTGTGTGTGTGTGTGTGTGTGTGTGTGTTTGTATGTGTATGAGTGTATGGTGTGTGAGTGTGTGTGAGTGTGTGTGTGTGTGTGTGTGTGTGTGTGTGTGTGTGTGTGTGTGTGTGTGTGTGTGTGTGTGTGTGTGTGTGTGTGTGTGTGTGTATGTGTGTGTATGTGTGTGAGTGTGTGTGAGTGTGTGAGTGTGTGTGAGTGTGTGGTGTGTGTGAGTGGTGTGTGTGTGTGTGTGTGAGTGTGTGTGTGTGTGTGAGTGTGTGTGTGTGTGTGAGTGTGTGTGAGTGTGTATGTGTGTATGAGTGTGTGTGCGTGTGTGTATGAGTTGTGTGTGTGTGTGTGTGTGTGTGTGTGTGTGTGTGTGTGAGAGACTCAGCAATCAACATTTGCACCAATAACTCACTACAGTTGTGACCGGGTGTGGAAGTGTGAATTGCTCATTACTCTAAAATTTGTTCATGATTGCAGCCATGTATAAACGTAAGTAACCATTCTTACAGTATTCATTACCTTTGTAACTTGCGAGTTCATTACCTTGTACCTAGTTCAGCCATCAAAACTTTGGAGCCCGGTCACTGGACCCATTGTGTACCTCTGTAATCTGTAAATACCTTTGTAACTTGTCATGATTGTGACTAGACCTACCTGGAGTTCATTACCTTTGTAAATTGTGAGTTCATTACCTTTGTAAATTGTGAATTCATTACCTCTGTAACTTGCTCAGCTATCAAAACTTTGAGGCCCAGTCCCTGGACCCATTATGTACCTCTGTAATCTTTTGACTACCGCCCACAGGATGGGTATCGGGTGCATAATAAACATATTAAACTAACTAAACTCACGAGTCGCAGGTCAAGTGTTGCTTTCTTGTGGGATGTGATAGTGAGGTGTGGTCTAGACCCTTTATATGCCTTCCTATGATGCATTACTTTTATTGTCCCTTGATAATGTGAGTAGTCACGAAAGCGCTTGGAATTTCTCTATTCTTTCACAGTGGTTGTTTTACATAATTATATATATATATATATATATATATATATATATATATATATATATATTATATATATTATATATATATATATATATATATATATATATTTGACGAGTTTAGAGTTTTTATACTTGCGAAGCTAGGTCATGGGCCAAGCAACACCCTGGCCAACCAGGCTGCTGCTGCTGGCGGCCCGTTGGGCCACATATCCATCACAGCCTAGTCTGGCATTTGGTGGAGATATTTGTCCGGTTTCCTCTTGTCCCAGCAGTGCTTGTGATACCTTTCGGTAAGATAAGTAGCCTGGGACCACGAATGTTGAGTCAATGTTCTCAAAAACAGCCCTTGGTTCAACCAGAGACGCAGTGGCAAACAAGAAAAGTGTAAGGGGGTGGGAAAAGTAACAAATATGCTAAGAGTGAAGAGAGAAGCTGAGAGAATGACATTGCAGCAAATGTCAAGTCTGAATTGAAACTGCATCACAGCCACATCAGAAGATAATATTAAAGAAACAGGTAACTGACTGAGAAAGACAGGAGACATCACGAAACACGACAAGGAAGTCTGTGGAGTGTTGATGAAACTATTCTATGAAGTCTTTTCAGTGGAAAATGGGGCAGTACCAGAGATATCAAGGAACAAAGGGCACCGACAAGTACTGGATGTCATCCACACAACAGGGGAAGAGGTGAAGAAACTTTTGATGGACTTGGATACTTCAAAGGCAATGGGACCTGATGTGTCACCATATATTCTGCAATAAAGAGCAGAAACATTACTAAACCACTAACTACGATCTACCTTAAGTCAACGTATATGGGGGAGTTACCAGAGATCTAAGAAAAAAGACAGGAAGCATTAAACTACAGACCCGTATTTCTGATATGCATACCTTGCAAGGTAATGGAGAAACTTATCATGGGGAGGGGGGAAGAGTGGTAGAACTCTTATAGTAGTAGTAGTAGTTTCATTAACAACCAACATGGCCTTATGGGTGGCAAATCTCGTTGTACTATGTCAGACTAACACATGTGCGACAAGAGAGGGTTGGGGAAGATGCATTTTCTTAGACTGCAAGAAAGCATCTGATACCGCACTCCACAACAGACTGGGCCAGAAACTTGAGAATCTGGCAGGAATAACTGGGAACGTATTCCAGTGGATCAAAGAATATCATAGGGGAAAGGCAGAAAAAGTGTGTCGGGAAAGAAACTTCAAAATGGGTAAGAGTAACTAGCTGGGTTCCACAAGGATCTGTAATACGACCAATACTGTTTCTGGTGTATGTGAATGATATTCAACATGGGACTGATTCAATATACCTTTTTGCTGATGACGCAAAACTGATGAAAATAAAAGTACGAGGAAAAGGAAAGGTTCCAAAGGGATATGGACAAATTGCAAGTGGACAGACAAATGATTGCTTGAATTTAACCCCAGTAAATATAAGGTCAAAGACTGAAGGCGCAAGAAGACCGGAAATGGGATACAGATTATGTGTGGGGACAGAGGCTGAGGACTCGTTATGTATCAAAGGGACAAGCAGAGTGGCCAGTACACCGCCAGTAGTTTACGTCAGCCAAATAACCTAAGTAGTCAATGCTCATCTGGCCAATCTTAGTACCCTTCAGGAATCTCAACATGCATCGGCGCATCTTGGATAATGTAGCACCAGGATAAAACCCGCACCTAAAAAAAAAGCACATTAAGAAATTGAAGGACACGTAAAAGCAGGCAAAAACGGGCAGAAGAACCAGGAGACATAACATGCAAAATACTCAGGAAAATTGATGGGGCAGACAGGGATAAGCTGCTTGAGAGGCGAGAAACTGAAATATGGGGACAGAGCTGGAAGTCACAGATATATCAGAGAAATGCTGTGAAGTATTTCTTGCATTTTAGAGTGGCTGGGAAGTGAAATGATCTTCGTATGGAAGTGGTGGCGGCAAGCTCCTTACATAGTTTTAAAAGAAGGCAACATAGGGCCCACAGGGTTACGAGGGAGTGAATGTGGAGATTGGCAAATTAAGAGGCGGGACCAGAATCTGAGAATCGGCCCCTGAAACAACAAATGGACGAGTACAAATAGGCGGAGACGCACGCATGCAGACTACTAAAAGCATGTGGGTAGCAACAGAACAGATGGGACTCGCAGGTAAGGACCCACTAGGAGTGAGGGGAAAACGGGGATAGTTGAATAAATGGAGAGGAAAAAAGTTGTAGGGGAGGAAAAAAGTTGTAGGGGAAAAAAAAAAGTCGGGGTTAGACCCAACAGCAAGGGCATTGTAAAGCATTACGTAAGACTTGTGTTGGTGCTCATCATCGTCTCTCCTCTTCAGCAAGACTGGTCGCGCAAGTTTGGCAAAAGGTCGGACTGTGGCGGCCCCAAACGACACTAGACAAACTGTTCAACTGAACTGCATAGAGACGCCCCTCCACGGCTATGGTATTTCAAAAGAGATGGAAAGATGTAAGAATTTAAAAACAAAGGATGGTAATTGCTTTAAGATCATATAGGTATAAAATCAAGAAAAAGTACAAGAGCAACAAGTGCATTAAAAAGAGCAAGTGGCTTAGGGAAGGTTAAGTGTAAAGTGGTGGAGGAACGGGATTGTAAAGAGTTCTGAAGAGGTCTTCAGGATTGTGAGGGCATCTGATAGTGTCGTCAAGGAAGGATGTCCAACAGTCAAGGTGGCTCAAGTATGTCGAGCTGTCTGTCGCTAATCGCTAAGTGTTTTCCAGAACACATCTAGATCTAGTATGCCAGTACTGAGGTGTAGTGACTCACGTGGCAGAGTCCTGCCACCTCAAGCAGAAACTACCATTTCACACTTAC